TATATATACAGATATATATATAATTCATTCATTCACTGTCAGTCTGTTTTTACAATATAAATGATTTTCTTGTAGGCATAAGGCAGTGGGTCTTGTTTGTTTACCCATTTATCCAGTCTTTTAACTGGGAGATTTAAATTGTTTACATTCAAATTTGTTATTTTTTTTTACAAAAAAACTAACTTTAAGATTTATTTTTGTACCTTTTTAAACAGAGAAAACAACACACTCCTTGGGGGAAAGGTGAGGGATTGGGAAGACAGGCCCTGGGTAAAAATTATTAGGACAGCACCTGGAGTTGATAGGCCTGCCTAGGAGAGAAACACAGGCACTGCCATGCCAGCACAGGGGACAGCTACTGTCTGAGGCTCAGCAGACCAGTCTATGCACCATGCAAGGTTGCTATAGATCCAACTCATAAAAATCTTCCAGCTCATCATGAAACAAGTCCCACTCATCTTCAGAGTCTGTCAGTTCATCATCCCTACCTGCAGCCAAAAGCATAAGCAACATCTCACCCAGCTCAAAAGTGACAACCTCTTCTTCATCATTGTCAAAGCATCGTTGACTGCTGTTCTCTCTTTCCTCAATGAGCTCCCAGAAGTGGTTCCTTCATTGGGCCCGGTATCTGCTTGATGTTCCCACTTTCTGTCTCTGTGGCTCCTCTCTATGTCCATCAGGGTACAGATGCCTGTAAAAGCAGTTCCCTCCAAATGGGCAGATCCCACGTCCTTCATCAAATACCTGCACGACTTGTTGCTCATTGCCTCCTTGTATTTCTGAATGAGTTTCTGCTACTCTTCTTTCTCCTCCACCCAGTACTCACTTGGAATAACAAAGTTAGATGTGATCCAGCATTCTGGGCAGGACTTTATGATCTTGCTCCCAAATTGCTTAGCACTCCTCCACTTGTAAATGCACTTGAGATGGTAGGTGTGGTTGCAGTTATAGAGGATCGCAAAGCAGCGCTCACTGGGGTTGGCTTTCTCATACTCCACCTCCATGCAGATCCCACACACCATTTCCTTGCTGTGCTGCACAGCAAACGAGAGCTCCATGTCCTTCTCTTGCACCTCAATGCAAGATTTTATCTGTTGTGATCTCTGGGCAGCATCCATTGGATGTAGGACCTGCAGCCCACATGTATCACATGAGTCCCCGTGGAGATACACAGTTTTCCCTATATCGGCACTCCCTCACGCCAGCACAGGGGCAAAGCTGTTTCTTTGCTTCCATGGTGATTTGCTCTTTCTCTGATTCTTCCTTGGTTACTGAGCCCTGCCAGGGGTGCTTCAGTGCAGGAAGGCGCAGTACGGACACAGCAGGGTTGTCCAGGAGCAAACTCAGTAGCATTCACCCAGTCCTCTGGACCTGCTCCTACACTTCTAAAGTTTGGATTTCTTGACTCAGCTTCACCGGTGTTCATTTCAACAAGAGGTCTGACTGCTAAAGATAGACTTGAGGAAGCAGGAACAGATGACTTTGCAGTTAGGTCTGTAGCAGTTGCTTCTTCCTGTTTCAATGGCTTGCTATGTTCCTATCTGTAGCAGTCTCCATAAATACAGTACCTTCGATGATAATACTTGCACACTACACCATATGGACTGTCAGGTCATGAGAGTAGCGACAGTTATCTCCTTCTTTACAAACCCCACGCATAAAATACCTGCAGGTGACCTGTTTAGTCCAGCCGCTGCCACTGCCATTGCTGCCGCTGCTTCCTCCTCCCGCCCCTGGGGACAGAGTGGCAACTGTGGGGAGAGGGGAAGTGGAGGCTGCTGCTATGGCCGCTGCTGCCGCTCCTGCTCATGGTGTTGTGGCTGTTGTTCCAGGAGCCGCAGCCTTGGCCATTACTGTTTATACCACACAGCAATGGCCCTGGAACTTCCGGGATCACATAGTTCCAGTCCCGCTGCTAAGAGGAAAGGCGGCGAGGCACAGCGAGGGGAAGGAGAGTGAGGCGCCCTCTCGGTCCCCAGCAGCCCAGAGCTCCTTCTGGTGAGCTCTTGCCACTTGAGATGAGGAGGCAGAGCGTGCGCGCCCGTGATCCGCCCCTGGCGCAGCTGATTGGTAGAGGAGACCGCCCAACTGGGAAAGGGGGGAGGCTACTTGGGGCTGTGTACAGGTATGCGGGCGATGCTCCAAATTCAGGTGAAGTCCATATTCACAACCTCACTGAGAGCTGGAAGCGGGTGGAGATTGGAAGCCTTTGTAATTCTAGCACTCTGGGAGGCCGACTCGCAGAAGGATCCCTTGAGCTCAGGAGTGTTGGGGTCCTGACCTAAGAGCAGCGTCTGCTGAAACCCTGTGGAAACTGGCGGTGATCAACTGAAGAAAAGTTAGAAGGGAAGGTAAAGAAAGTTAAGAGACAAAGTAGAATTAAAAGTGGGAGCTCAGGGTTCCATTGCCCGTGGTAGGATTCTGGCAACAGCCTCAAGATTGTTGATAGTTGAGGAATTCTGTCATCTTGTCGACTGTTTTCTAATTGTTTTGTATATCTTTTGTCCCTTTCTCTTTTATTGCTTATCTGTGGTTTGGTAGCTTTCTCTGATGATGTCGTTTGATTTCTTCTTTTTTTTTTCTCATTTGTGCCTCTGTTCTTCCAATGAGTTTTATACTTTAATGCATTTTCATAATGGTGATACGTTCCTTTTATTTCCTGACATCAGACTCCCTTTAGTATTGCTTATAGGTTTGGTCTAGTGGTTACATATCCTATTAGTTTTTGTTTGCTTGCTACTTGATATTTCTTTCATTTCTTGAAGGATATATTCGCTGAGAATAGTATTCTTGACTGGCAGGTTTGTTTTTCTTTTATCATTTTCAGTGTATCATCCTGTTCTCTATTGGCTTGAAAGATTTTTGTTGCAATATTTGTTTTCAATCTAATGGGAATTCCCTTTTTTGTGACCTGATACTTTTGCTATTTTTAGAATTCTATTTTTGACTTTGGCAGTTTAACCATACTGTGCCTTGGTTGAATCTATTTTGGGGTCTTTGAACTCCCCATATCCAGATGTCTATATCTCTTCCAAGACTTGGAAATTTTTCAGTTATTATTTACATAAATAGGCTTTTCCTACCTTTTGTCATGTTTTTTCTTGAAACTCCCAAAATTCAAAACTTTGTTCACTTAATGATGTCACATAGGCATTATTCACTCTTTTTTTTTCTTTTTTTCTTGTTTTATTTGCCTGGGCTTATTTCAAAAGACCTGTCTTCAAGTTCAGAAATTCTTTCTTCTACTTGATATAGTCTGTTGTTGAAGCTCTTGATTGTATTATTAATTTCAGTCATTGTACTATTCGGTTCTAGGGTATCTGTTTGGCTATTTTTAATGATATCTATCTCTTTGTTGAATTTCTCATTCAGATTAGAAATTGTTTTCTTGATCTCTTTATATTGTTTATCTGTGTTCTCTTAAATCTCATGGAATTTCTTTAAGATAACAATTTTGAATTCCTTTTCAGGCATTTCGTGAATTTCATTTTCTTAGGGGTCTGTTACTAAAGAATTACTATATTTCTGTGGCAGTATCATATTTTCTTTTTCATGTTTCTTTTATCGTTACATTGATATCAGCTCATTTGCTTTAACTGTTGCTGCTTCCATTTTTTATGGAGTAGCTTCCACTATAAAGACTTTCTTGAGATACACCTATAATGGTTTGGTAGAATGCTTTAACTTTGGTTCAAGGTTGCAACTGTAGTGGAGTCTCCTATGATAACTGCAGCTATCATCAATATCAACAGTGCCTGCAAGTTCCATAGTGGCCTAGACTGTAGTTGTTTGTGGAGGGTGTAGTGAGGCTTTCTTGTAGACAGCAGCACTATATAATCTTATCTTCAGTTTGCCAGGTAATAAACATGGGGGCGCTGGCAGTGGTGGCAACTTATCCTAGATACATCAATCTTTGGTCCCTGGGCAAAGCATATGTGAATTGACAGTGGTGGCAGTAAGCCTGGTGGGATGATCCTTGGGCCCCTGGGCAGGATATACAGGCACCAGTGGGCTGAGCAATTTATTCCTCAGGCCCTCCTCAGAGCTGTGCTAGGAAAACAGAGCAGGTGGCAACCAGTGGTGTCCACAGTAGGCCAAATGGGTTGATCCATAGACCTCTAAGGAAGATCCATGAGTACCAGCAATGCCTAGCATGGGTCAAGTGGGACAGTCCTTGGGTACCTGGGAGGGGCACACAGGTATCCCCATAGCAGACTGATGGGTAGTTCCTTGGATTCCCAGGCAGAGCATGCCAGTGCTAACAGTCCATGGTAGACCAGGTGAGTGAATCTTATATTTTAATCTTTTCAAATAATTTTCAAACTTTTCTTATTCCTATAAAATGCATGCATTCCAAATGTAAAAACTCACCTTCTGCTCTCCCCCACCCCCGTTTGTTATATAGCTGGTTCTTTCACTTAAATTTTTCTGTCTGAATACAAGTTTTCCTACTGGCTTTTTAAACATGTTCTTTTTGATGTAAATTCTGATATATGTTGGCTTGCATTATGCAACATATAGACCTTCACTGACTGCTCTATGTTGAGTGTTTTGCTAAGAGCTGTGCTAGGAAAACTTTCTATGAGAAATCATGTTAGGGTGGTATTCAATGGTTATTTAAAATAATTCTGTGAAATGTATGTGAAAATAGACTAGATCCACAAGTAGATTACCATTTTAAGTTAGCAGTATTGGTAAGGTTTTCACAACAGTCCAATGAGTGACCTCATAATACAGTGCAGTTCATATATATTTCATTATGGAAAGTGGATCTAGAAATTGATTGATAGGTAAATAATCTTATTGTAACTATATAACGATCACCAAAAATCTTACTCCTCTTTTGGCAATTTCTGTCAATTACATTGCCTTTTTTCTGATTTCTAGTAGAAAACAGAAGGAGAAAGTAATGGATTTTACAAGTAAGCAGAAAAATATAGATACACATAGTTTACAGGGCTCTTCAGTCCATCTTATAACAACTTGATCCTTTTTCTTAGACCAGAAGATCAATTCAGAAGTTATTAGAATGGGAAAATAACAGATTATATCACAAGGTAAGAAATTGTAAACCAATAAGTTCTACATTCATTTGTTTATATTGTTAAATTTAAAAAATAAGTACTAAATGTGAATTTTTTAGGCCACAAAGAAATGGATTAGAAAACTAGTCCTCAATTTTAATATGTATATATCACAACATATTTTTAAGTGCTATATTTTGTATCTTATACTTATTTCTGGATTGTTTTTAGTGATTTTTTCAAATTAAAATGTTTTATTAGTTAAACTGATATAAAAATTCTTAATAAAACTATACCATTCTTAGCTTGCTTTGCACTGGAAGTTGACTAAACGGAAATGCGAAACTAGCAATATGATGGAGTATGTAAGTATGACGTTCCTTTTAATTACACTTTGGGAGATTAATCCTAAATGTAACATTTTACTGTTTATCTTTTATAAGCTTTTTTTGCTGCCTTTTTTTC